AATAATAGTTTTTTAAATCATCATCATCATCATTATTGTTATTATTGTTATTAATAATTATTATTAGTAGAAATATCATTATCATTATTAAGCAAGATAAAATATAGGCCTATTCATGCGATTGCGATGTAATGGTTATACTGTTACAAGCAGAAAACAAGGGTTTATTTCCCGAAAGGAGAAGTAAGTTGTTTCGTTGAATGTTTTTGGCCACTCCCACCTATGATGCTGGGTCCCCTTACCTCGGGATTGACGGACAGGTAGGGTGGTCGGTAACGACAGTAATCTGTGGTCAGGATAGGGGAAATTTGAATACTTTGTGCATAATATCATTGTGAGCTTTTTCCCTGATATGGATAGGAATATATAATGCTTTGATTCGGCTTATAAGATTAAAAGAACTGTATCTGTATTTAAAATACTTTTGAGATATTGGGGTCGAAGTTTTTTTGATTTGAAACGTAAAAGCAGAGAGAACAGTTTCATGTTTACTTTTCTGGGAGAGAATAAACATTTCAGAACGAAGCATGGATCACCATGTCAATGTAGTGTATTGAAAATGAAACCAGCAACAATAGACCGTCACTCGAAGCATCCACACAACGCAGAGTTTAGACCTATAAGACGATTTACTGGCCGCATAATGTTAGAAAGAAGGACTCTGCAGTAAGTACCCCTTGTGCTAACATTTTAAAGAATATTTTTAACCTTCTTCTGTAAGTTCAAAAAGCCCTTTGACCCCAGGAAAAAGTGCCTTCAGACATAACGCCACAACTTGAGAAAATATAATATGTTGCCTGGATATACAAATAAAGACTGATTAAGTGTAGTTTATAATTTTAAAGTACAGCTCAAAGGAATCCAAATATATCCCAAAGCACATTTTTAATTCTATAAATGGACGGCAATTGCAGACAAGGCAGTCTTCAAAGTACAATGTAGTTAAAACAAAGAAAATTAAGATTTGTTGCTTGACACTGGGCTTTTCAAACTGAATAAATGTGAATGAAACAGCTACTCCAAAATACATTAATTTATATTTTGTGTTTGGGATTTTTCTTTTCTTCAGCTGAAAAAGTAACACACAAAATTAACAATACAAAGTAAAAAGC